CTTGGGATTTAATTCAAGGGAACATTAAAACATACACATTGAAGCCCAGTGTGAGCAAGAGAATAAAGTTAGAGTCATTTTTTGTGAACGTTTATAAAGTTGATACCAGGCAGCAAAGCGAATAAGGATAAAATAAAGGTTATGCTGCATAAAACAATCAAAAATACGTATTTTTGAAATCATAAATATTTTATATGCAATATTTAATTTATGATAAAATTTTCTATTTCTGAACTGGAGTGATAGCACAGCGGGTAGGGCGTTTGCCTTGCATGCAGCCAACATGGCTGACCCAAGTTCGATTCCTCCACCCCTCTCAGAGAGACTGGCAAGGTATCGAGAGTATCTCGCCCGCCTGGCAAAGCCTGGCAAGCTACCTGTGATGTATTAGATATGCCAAATCGGTGAACAACAGGAAGATAATAACAGTGATAGTTCTATTTCTAGTAATTTTAGAAACAATTATATAGTTACAGTTCATGATCAACGAATGTTGTTTTTCCACATTTCCTTTTTTTGTTTTATTGATTGTTTTTTAAATTTTTATTAGTGAAACACTGTGAGGTACAGTTGTAGACTTACAAATTGTTTTATTGATTTATATCTTTTGGTCACACCTGAGGTGCTCAGGGCTGACTCCTTGCTCTGTGCTCAGGGATCACTGCTGGCAGGAAAGGGGGACCATATGTGGGTTGACAATCAAACTTAGGTCAGAGGCATCAAAGGTAAGTGCCCTACCTGCTGAATTATCCCTCCATTCCCACCCACACTTCAGGTGGAGCATGATATCACTATTCCAGGGCTTGCACAATAGTACATTGAGCAAGGCACTTATTTGTATATGCTTCGTCTGGGTTTGATTCCCAGCATCACATATCTCTCCCAAGTCCCACCAAGAGTATTACTGAGCACAGAGCCAGGAGTCATCTTGAATATTGCTGGGTGTGGCCCCAAACAAAAAATTTCTCCGAGTGATTGAGGTGGGTGTCCCTACTAAAGCAGAACTTTGAAGAAACAAGAGCCTAATTCATATCTAATAACTTAGACCGTTCATAGAGATGGGAAAACATTTTTTAATGGAATCACTATGAGATACAGAGTTACAAAGTTGATCCTGATTGCGTTTCAGTCATATGACTGGTTGAAGAAACTATGGTACCTCTACACACTGTCACTGTCACTGTCCTTCCGTTGTTCATGGATTTGCTCGAGCGGACCCAGTAACATATCCATTGTACTCTTGTAACTGTGTTTGGCATATCAAATACGTCACGGGTAGCTTGCCAGGCTTTGCTGTGCGGGTGAGATAATCTCGGTAGCTTGCTGGGCTCTCCGAGAGGAGCAGAGGAATCAAACCTGGGTCAGCCAGGTCGGCCACATGCAAGGCAAAAGCCCTACACTCTGTGCTATCGCTACAATGTAGCTGTTAAGAAAAATGAAGCCATGAAATTTGCTTATAAATGGATGGACATGCAGAATATCATGCTGAGTAAAATGAGTCAGAAGAGAGGATAGACATTGAATGATTGGACTCCTTTGTGGGATATAAAAAAGTATAATATAAGATCAATACCTAACGACAGTAGAAACAGGAACCAGGAGGATTGGTCCACGGTTGGAAGCCTGCCTCAAATACTGGGGGAGAAGGCTGTTAGTTGAGAATGCGCTCTCTAGGTAAGAGTTGCGTGCTGAAAACAGGTAAAGAAAACTTTTAATCAGCTGAAAAGTGGTTAGAGTTGGTTAAGATGTGAAAGAGAGAAAGTAGATGGAAATAAGTTAAAAAAAAAACACTGGATTTACTTGCGTCCTAATATCTTGGGAAAAGAGAATCATTAGAAAAGAATTTCTTTCCAGTCCACAGCAGTTTTCCACAGGGAATCCTGTGCTTAGAGACCCAGAGGCAAGAGGTAAAAGTGCCTAATGAGCTGGTAGAGGAGCCGTAACTAGCTCCTTGGTTCTGGGTCCGGAGAACTGGCTGAGGGGGATTTTTCTTGATTTTTTTATTTCTTTATTTGCATGCCTAGACCTGGTGAAGAGACAGAATTTTGTCTTCCTTCCTTCCTTCCTTCCTTCCTTCCTTCCTTCCTTCCTTCCTTCCTTCCATCTTCCTTTCTTTCTTTCTTTCTCTCTTCATCTACCTGGAAATGGCCATTCTGCCTTCAACATCAATAATTCAATGAGGAATTCACACTTCCGCTTGGAGACTTCCCATTCTGATTTCCCATCCAAGTAAGTTTAACATCCAAGTTTACCTTAGCTAGAGTCAAAGAGAAAAGATATCAAGAACTTTATTTGCCTGTAGGCCCCCGAGTGCCAATCCACCTTAGCCCAGAGGCAAGAGATTGCTGTGCTGGTTGCTGGATGAATGAGTGAAGGTATGGCTTCCAGGGGCTTCGTAATATTTCAGAATATATGTAGGGTTCACATTAGATGATGTTTCATATTCTTGATCATGGAATGGCTAGCTGTCTCTTAGAGATAAGCAAACAGGTGCTGCAATTGGCAAGTTCAAATTCTGCTTGTAAGTAGGGGTAATGGTGGTGGTTGTGTCCACCATGGATAAGAACAGTGTTCAGATCTATTTCTTGATGGCATATGGCATAGTAGGGAGGCCTTTGTGGTGTTAATGAATGAGAGAGAGAAAGGGAAAGAGGAGAGAGAGAGAGAGAGAGAGAGAGAGAGAGAGAGAGAGAGGAGGAGGAGGAGGAGGGAGGAGAGCCCTGACCCTGAATGTTGGTGGTCCTAGATTAATGACCCTATCTTAAAGGAAATCACTATTTTTAGTGTTTGAAGTTCTCTTCATATTGCTTTTCAAATGTTTAACACTGCTTTTGCTTTTTTTTTTTCTTTTTGGGTCACACCCAGCAAAGTTCAGGGATTACTCCTGGCTCTGCATTCAGGATTTACTCCTGGTGGTGCTCAGGGAACCATATGGGATGCCGGAAATTCAACCTGGGTCAGCCGTGTGCAAGGCAAATGCCCTCCCCATTGTACTATCAATCGGTCCCCCAAAACTGCTTTTCTGTCAGCAAAATTATAGAGCATCTGCTTGACTCAGCATTCAGGGCTCGTGGGATTGAGGGTTCTTTAAGTGGCTGCCATGCTGATGTGCATGATACATTTTGTTCTGGAAACCAGGAAGTCAGGAAAACAAGTATCTGCTCACTCCTTGGAACTGTTGCTTACTGATTATGTCAGAATATTTTATATGATAAATAGCTTACTATGGCAGAATTTTTATTGTTCCCTTGTTTTTCTAGGTTATAATTCCAAATGTTTCCTATTGATAATTATTCCTCAAGTGACTTCTCAATATTTTTACTATAATTTTTGGAGGCAGTCACACCCAGCTGTGCTCAGGGTTTACTCCTGCTTTGCACTCAGAGATGACTCCTCATTGGGGTGGGGACCACATGGGGTGCCCGGGATTGAACCTGGGTTGACCATATTCAAGGTATATGCCCCACTTGCTATACTATAGCTCCACCATCCCCAGTTAATTTAATATTTTAAATATTTTATTTAAATATATCTGTTACCTTACTTATAACTTCATTGCTTTATTTAATTCACAGGATTTTGAATGTTGTTATGAGGTCTCATTTAGAATTATTTCTATTAAACAGAGATAATTTTTTTTTGCTTTTGGGCCAGACTCAGCAATGCTTGGGTGTTATTTCTGATTCTGCACTCAAGAATTGTGCCTGGCAGTGCTTGGGGGACATATAGGATGCCAGAATCAAACCTGGACTTTCCTCATGCAAGGCAAGTGCCCTACCTGCTTTACACCTATATATATTTAGGTGCACGGCAGAGCCTGGCAAGCTACCCGTGATGTATTCAATATGCCAAACACAGTAACAACAAGTCTCACGATGGAGACGTTACTGGGCCCACTTGAGCAAATCGATGAACAATGGGAGGACCGTGATATATATATATATATATATATATATATATATATATATATCATCATATATATATGCTTTTTGGGTCACACCCGGCGATGCACAGGGGTTACTTCTGGCTCTGCGCTCAGGAGTTACTCCTGGCGGTGCTCAGGGAACCATATGGGATGCTTTGAATCGAACCCAGGTTGGCTGCATGCAAGGCAAACGCCCTACCCACTGTGCTATCTCTTCAGCCCCTACACCTATATTTTAATCTCAACTCTTTGTATGATGTCTGAGGGAGGAGATCAATGTCATATTTTCTCAGAAACATAGCTTTATTAACAGATTTTTTTACAACACAAATGCTTTCTAGAAATTGAAAATGTTTTTATGTAGTAAAATTCCTATATAGCAAAGAATCTCCCAAATGGAACAAAACATGCTATCAGTGTTATGCATGTGTGTGTATATGTGTGTTTTGGGGCCACACGTGGTGATTCTCAGGAGCTACTCCAAGCTGGGTGCTTGTGGTTCGCTCCTGACAGTAATTGAGAGACCAAGCAGTGTTGGGGATTGAATACAAGCTCCCTGCATAGGAAACATCAGATCTAGCCCTTTGAACTCTCTCCTGGGCCCATGTAATTTTTGTAATCAAGGTCCTTGAGAGTTGGTTTATTGGTCCTCATGGATGCCGATAAGACATTTCTCTTTGTTCTGTATGTCATTGGTGGGTATTGATTTGCCATTTAATTTTTCTTCCAGTAGTTGCTTTGAAAGTAGGGGTTTTGTTCTTCTTTCAATATATTCAGTAGCATTTTATTTTCTTGCTTTTCATGTCCCTGAATGCGGTTCTCTAGATGTGCATATATATACTGAAATGAATTGTAAAACATGAAAAAGTGAGCAAAGAAACTGGCATCTTAAGTCATGTATTATAATAGAAAATGCAGAAAAGTTGAGGTAACTGTATGATGTACTGTCTCAGGCATCATCACATAGAGAACATTATTCAGTATAGAAAAGACAGAATCCTCATCTCGTGTCATGCGAGATTAACAGAACATGTTCTGGGGTGGATGTTGAATTTTGAATAAAGTCCCCAACCAGGATGAGTGTGCTCACTGGAATTACTAACAAAAAAGAGATCAAATTCCAAACTTCAAGAGTAGCAACAAAATGATGATACATGGAAAAAGAGGAAGCAGATAGTCTCATCTTTGATGATACCTTATATGCAAAATATGTGTTCATATTGTGGGGACATTTGGACTTTACCTTGAGGTGCACCTTTCCAGTCCTGGAGAGAGTGTAAAGGAGGGAACACACATGCCTTACATGCAGCCAATTCAGTGTGACACTAACTTGAACCCAGAGCACCATATGTGGTTTCCTGAGAACCTCCAATAGTCAATCTTGAGCACAGAGTCAGGAATAAAAATCACCCCCATGAACCTTGAGCTAAAATCCAGACACTCCCAAGAATGAATACATAGTTTAACGTGATTAATAAAACTTCGGGCTGGAGAGTTATAGCACAGTGGGTAGAGCATTTGCCTTGCATGTGGCCGACCCAGGTTCATTTCCGGCATCCCATATGGCCCCCCAAGCACCACCAGGAGTAATTCCTGAGTGCAGAGCCAGGAGTAACCCCTGTACATCACCAGGTATGACTCATAAAGCAAATAAACAATTAAATAAAAATAAAACTTCATATAAAATAGTCTTTTCATTTCCTTCTTTCTTAAAGTCACGTCCACGAAATGAAGCCAGGAAATGATTCATCCATTTCTGAATTTCTCCTTCACGGTTTTTCAGAAGAACCCACACTTCAGACTCTCCTATTTGTGATTTTTCTCTCCATGTACGTGGTCGCTGTGTTGGGGAACCTACTTATCATTGTGATTATCCTCGCAGACCCCCACCTCCACACCCCCATGTACTTCTTCCTTTCCAACTTGTCCTTGGTCGACATCTGCTTCACCTCTACCACGGTCCCCAAGCTACTGGTAAACGTCCAGACGCAGACCAAAGCAATCACCTACGCAGGCTGCATTGCCCAGATGTACTTTGTCGTACACTTCTCTGTGTTGGACATCTTACTCTTGACAGTGATGGCCTATGACCGTTATGTGGCCATCTGCCATCCCCTCCACTACACTGTCATCATGAATCCCCGGCTATGTGCTCAGGTGGTGTTGGTGTTCTGGTTCTCAAGCGCCCTGCATGCCTTGTTGCACAGCTTACTTTTGTTGCAATTGTCCTTTTGCTCTGACTTGGAAATCCCTCACTTTTTCTGTGAACTCAAACTGATGGTCGAAGTCGCCTGCTCCGACAACTTCATCAATAGCGTGGTGATTTACTTTGCAGCGGTGCTTGTGGGTTGTGGTAGTTTCGCTGGGATTCTTTACTCCTACTGTAAGATTGTTGCTTCCATCCGTAGAATCTCCTCAGCTGAGGGCAAGTTCAAAGCCTTTTCTACCTGTGCATCTCACCTCTCTGTGGTTTTCTTATTTTATTGCACAATCTTGGGAATTTACCTGAACTCCGCTGCCCCCCACAGCTCACAGGGAAGTCCAACAGCTTCAGTGATGTATGCTGTGGTTGCACCTATGCTGAACCCCTTCATCTACAGCTTAAGAAATCAAGATATTAAGAGAGCCCTGAGAGTATTCGTTGTGAGAGGAGTTATAAAAGGACGGTTGTCCTCAGACTGAAGATCACCTTTACTGGCTGAATTTCAAGCTTCAGAAATTAGGATTATATGAATTGACTGTGGAAGGAAGATGGCATTTAAAAAAATTTCTCCAAATTTCCAATAAATTGACTTCAATTCTCCATTAATTTTTTAAATTTTATTTTAGAATCCATGATTTATAATACTGTGCAGGATAGGGCTTCATGCAAACTATGTTCCAATTTCGCACTCTCCATTTTATTTATATCAACCACTTTTATTTTTCAGATTTCTGCCTTTCGGATTCTTTACAATTGTTCTTTTTATCTTTTTTCTCTCCTTTTAGCCATAGATTAGAAATACAGGTAGGATGAAACCATATGATTTGCTGCAACTTGGGTGGAACCAGAGTATATCATACTTAACAAAGTAAGAGAGAAGAAGAAAGACAAATACTGATGATCTCACTTATCTGTGTCAGATAAACAGGGAAGAGAATGCAAGGTATTGAAGGGGGGATGTTGGGGATGCTTAGAATATCCTGTATCCTGTCCCTGGACTATAGAACTGAAAAGGATAGTGAAGGAGAGAAACTAAGGGCTGGAAGTAAGAAGAAAAATGAGTCAGATGGACTGTGTAGGGGCCTTGGACACATTGATGATGTAGATATGGTATAGGTACACAGCTGAATCACAGAACCAACAACAGTGAAAGCATAAGATAGAAACTAAAAAAAAAATAAAATAATGATAGAAACTGCAATTAAATTTAAAAATGTGCCTGTGAAGGAAGCCTGGTGGGGATGGGTGGAAGGGGAATTGGGGAAACTGGTGGAAGGAAGTTGTCCCTGGTGATTCGGTTGGTATTGGAAATTGTATGTCTGAAAAGGTACTATGAATAACTTTGTAAATCAAGGTACCTCAATAAAAAAATTTAAAATACGAATAAATTCCTGTCGGTGTGATGAGATAACACATGTTTTTAAGATTTTTTTTTGTCAAAACATGTATAGTATAAAATAACCATTTCTTTTGTTTTACTTAGTCACCTTTTGATGTTTCACCATGATGCAGGAATTGTTGGAGGAGTGTGTGTGTGCACAATGATGGCTACTGTGGTTAATGTAATTGTATAGAGAGGAAAATCTTTTTTTTTAATTTAACAACAAGACTTTATTTGGTCACTAACAATGACACGAGATATATATTTACTGCTATGGGGAAGTGGGAAAAGTTAATAAAGGGTTGAAAATATGGCTCAGTGGTAGAATATCTGCCTTTACCGATGTTACTGAAGGTTCTATTCCCAGCACCATATGGTCCCCCAAACACTATGGGAGCAACTCCTAAGTGTGGACAAAATAATTAAAAGTTGATTTTTAAAAAAAGTATCCATAATACAATCCTCGTCTGTAAACAAAGGTATTTGCATCAAAAAATATTGAATAAAAGCAAAAATTATAATAGCAACATCTCTACCTGACAGATCTAGGCACACCATTTTTTTTTCATAAGAGGAAACAAGTTATTATTTTTTTTGTTAATTATATTTGTTTTGCTTTCTTTTGTTTTGTGCGAGGTGGGGGCACATTCAGATGTGCTTGGGGATTACTTCTGGCAGGGCTTAGAGGATCATGAGCAGTGCCAGGGATTGAACCCAGATTGGCTTCTTCTAAGACAAATTTGACTGGGGATTGAGTGCACAGCAGGTAGAGCATTTGCCTAGCACGCAGCTGATTCAGGTCCGAATCCCAGCATCCCATATGGTCCCCCGAGCACCTCCAGGAGTAATTTCTGAGTGCAGAGTCAGGAGTAACCCCCGTGCATCGCTGGATGTGACCCAAAAGTAAAAAAAAGAAAAAAAGACAAGTTTAATTTTAAAACTATATTAAATTAAAAACTCTAAGTCTTTTTCCTGTGGTTGCCTTATTTGATAGGACACATACACACATTTATAGAGGAAAATCTTAATCAACCTTTGGCCCAGCATCTTTCTGTAGATCACCCACCATCTGAACTGCTCTTCTTCATCATGTTGACTATAGCATACATATGTTTTATAGATAAAGGCCCTCCCGTTGATCGTCGATTTGCTCGAGCGGGCCCAGTAACGTCTCCATTGGAGACTTTGTTGTTACTGTGTCTGGCATATCGAATACTCTCGGTAGCTTGCCGGGCTCTCAGAGAGGGGCGGAGGAATTGAACTCGGGTGGGCCATGTTGGCCGCGTGTAAGGCGAACGCCCTACCCGCTGTGCTTTTGTTTTCTTGTGGCGATCCTGTTGTCATCTAGATTCTTATCCACAAAGCCTCTATTGGTCAAAGCCTCTTGGTCAAACGATTGTCAAAGACACTGCTTTAAGATGAGTCTTCATTACAAGGCAAACTTGAATAAATCAGACTTTGATCTTAGAATCATGGCAATTGGCTTCTCTTCTTGGAATTCAAGCATCTGTTGTGAGTTGAAAGATGTCATTCGCTTTCAAGAAAAGCCAACTCCACTTGTCTAAAAGGATCATCGTGCATGCTTCTAGTCTCTTTCTTTACAAATCTCCAATCATTTCATAATCCATTGTGTACAACTTGTGCTTTTTAATTTAAAAGTGGGGTAATGTTGGGCCACACTTGGAAGTGCTCAAGGCTAAATATTTACTCTATGCTTACTCCTGGAAGTGCTCAGGGAACCCTATGCTATTTTAGGGATTGAACTGGGGTCAACTTTGTGCAAGGCAAGCATCTTGACCCTGCACTATCTATCTACAGTCCACTTACGGTGTTTTTTCCTCTTCTTTTTTTGCTCTCTCTGCCTATGTTTTACATTTTTGCCCTTATATTTTAATTGGACAAATAAAGGATGAATGTACAGTACCTTGATCCCAGTAAAAAGAGAATCCTAAGCTCTGGCTCCCTTTCACTCAAAACTAGTGTTTGAGTTAAGAAGATGGCACAAAGGACTGGACCATGTGCTTTGCCTTAGGGCTACCCCTATTACCTGGTTCTTCAAAGATTTCTGGGAGCAACTCCTAAGCACTGACCTAGGAGTGGTCCCTGAGAATCACCAGGTGTGGGCCAAAATAAGTAAATAAACAAATGGTGTTGAAAACATGGACAGTCAGCCAGATAAAAAGATGTCAGTAATTCATACACAAAAGCTAATTCAAAATCAATTAAAGATTTAGATATAAAACCTTAACGAATAAAATACCTTAAAAACCATACATATATTATTCTTTATATTAATCTGTTTTTAAATTAGAGTCAAATAACAAGAGAAGTTATAAAAAATAAGTAAGACTACCAAAAAAAAGAGTCACAACAGATATTTTATAAGAGATGGTATAGGAATGAAAAGAGTGGAATGACATATTTAAACCACTCACTGAAAAAACCTTCAACCATTAAAAGTTCGATTAAGACAGGAGGGAAGATAAAAACATTCTCAGACAATAACTGATATCATTTTCACAATAAAATCAGCCCTGGATGAAATATTGAAAGACCAACTATGTAAAACAAATAACTAATTGTAGAAGCAACAACCCCCACATAGTAAAATGGTAACAAAGCCATGAAATAGATATGTTTCCAAACAAGATACAAGATACTAGTGAAATGTAAATAAAAACAACAGTGAAATAGACCACCACATTTTTTGTATGACTATTAGCCAAAAGCGATAGCATAGTGGTAGGACGTTTGCCTTGCACGCAGCCAACATGGCCGACCCAAGTTCGATTCCTCCGCCCCTCTCGGAGAGCCCTGCAAGCTACTGAGAGTATCTCGCCCCCGCACAGCAGAGTCTAGAAAGCTACCCGTGATGTATCCGATATGCCAAACACAGTAACAACAAAGTCTCCAATGGAGATGTTACTGGGCCCGCTCGAGCAACGATGAACAACAGGAGGACCTTTACCTTTACCTTATTAGCCAAAAGACAAGAAATAATAAGTGTCACAGATATGTGGAGAGAAGGAAGCCATCAGACACTGTGGATAGGAATGTAAACTAGTACCTGCCTTGCAGAAAACAGTATGGAAATTCCTCATAACTAGAATCATAAGTAGAATCAGCGACCCAAGTTGCAAAGTAAATGCCTAATATGTACAAGGCACTGAGTATGAATCCCGGCATTAGGTGCCCTTTTGAGCCCCTTTGGATACAACTTGAATACAACTGAGTATGATTGGGAGTGATCTTCCCCCACCCCAAACCCCCATAACACTGCTAAAGTTAGTTTCTGTAAAACAGGTTTGAAGTGGAGTTGAACAGATGATACAGGGGTCAAGGTGCATGGCTTTCATATGGCCAATCACTGTTGGCATCAGGTGGTCCCCTGAGCACTGATTAGTATAGGTTTGGAAGCTCTGAGCAACGCTCAAGTGACAGGGTGATCCTTGCCCAGTTGACAGGGTGATCCTTGGCATTAAGGTCCAAAAGCACATCCTCCAGATCATGCAGTGAACCTCTGGCTTGGTTGGATGATAATTACAGGGAGGAACCATTGCTCTGAACACTGCTTTGGTGACACTTCCAAAATTTCATTAGTAAAATTTCAAGTCATGTGCTGGTCCCACTTGCAGAAGCTTTACACAAAACTATAGAAACAAAAATTCAACTCTATTTACATAAGCCACGTTTATTGCTGTTTATTTATAGTAAGCAAGAGGGTAAACCACCAGTGTTCATCAACTAGTGAACGGGTCAAGAATATGTGACAGGGGCTGGAGATATACAGGACCTGCCTTGCATGATGCTGATCCCAATTTAAATCCCTCGCATCAAATAACAGTATCCCAGTACCACTAAGAGTGATACCTGAGCACAGAGCAGAGAGCAAGCTCTGAGCACCATCATGTGTGGCCAAAAACCAAAAATTAAATAAAATAATGTAAATTTAACCATACAACTTTTCCCATTGGAGAAATGGACCTTCTTTTACTTAAAACTATACCGTAGCACTGTAACACTGTTCTCCCGTTCATTAATTTGCTCGAGTGGGCACCAGTAATGCCTCATAACAAATTGTGAGACTTGTTACTCTTT